CTGCTTTTACATCTGCAGAGACAAAATATATACATGTGAGTCTGTGCATGTGAGAGTGTCTGTGTGAAGGTCTGTTTGTGTGTGTGTGTGTGTGTGTGTGTGAGAGAGAGTGAGTGTCTATGTGTGTAAGTGAGTGTGTGTGAGAGAGTGAGTTTCTGTCTGTGTGTGTGTGTGTGTGTGAGAGAGAGAGTGAGTGTCTATGTGTGTAAGTGAGTGTGTGTGAGAGAGTGAGTGTCTGTCTGTGTGTGTGTGTGTGTGTGTGTGTGAGAGAGAGTGAGTGTCTATGTGTGTAAGTGAGTGTGTGTGAGAGAGTGAGTGTCTGTCTGTCTGTGTGTGTGTGTGTGTGTGAGAGAGAGTGAGTGTCTATGTGTGTAAGTGAGTGTGTGTGAGAGAGTGAGTTTCTGTCTGTGTGTGTGTGTGTGTGTGTGTGAGAGAGAGTGAGTGTCTATGTGTGTAAGTGAGTGTGTGTGAGAGAGTGAGTGTCTGTCTGTCTGTGTGTGTGTGTGTGTGTGTGTGTGTGTGTGTGTGTGTGTGTGTGTGTGTGTGTGTGTGTGTGTGTGTGTGTGTGTGTGTGTGTGTGTGTGTGTGTGAGAGAGAGTGAGTGTCTATGGGTGTGAGTGAGTGTGTCTGTGAGTGATGAACATACCATGGTATTACAATCTGATACCACAGTACTATTTCGGTAAATATGGTATTAAAATGATGTTTGTGGTAATTTATAGTTTTAAAAGTAAAAGCAAAAAGCTGATGGAGTGTATATAAAGTTTAGGTAAAACACATGATGAAGTTATTAATGTAAAATGTAAGAGAAACACTTTTACCTTGCTGTTTCTCTACAATATGATCCAAAACATCTTCATCAGCCACGAACCGAACCTCTAACGGCTGTTTCTGGGTCATCCTGCCGCTCAGACACTAAACCCAGAACTCAAACTGTAATATCTGTCACACATAGATGATTATTAACATTTGTTTTGATAACGACGCTTCATCTTGCACAAATAGACCTGTTGAAAATCTGTGGTACTGCTGTCGATTCGGCGCCACAGGAACCCACGTGTGACAGGAGGAGGGTCACGTGAGCAGCCCCGGCCAATTAGAATGAGGCTTCATTGTAAACTACAACTCCCATAATTCCAGGGTCGATTAAAATCGCATTAAAATCTTAAGTTAGGGTGGGGTTTTTTTAGAATTGGAAACAACGGAAAGTTTAACTTCTTCCTTAATTGGAATCTGGGATTAAAATGGTCAACGGTTGATCTCCTAAAATTAATAATAATAAAAAAACAGTAACGAGTCAACGGAAATGAATGTGATTAGTTGATTCAAAGCAACGCTGAGAAAAGTATCAGCGATCACGTGATGGTCCCTGTTGGCTGATCATTCTAATGGTTGTTTTTATTAAAAAAGCAGTTGATAATAATCAATTACTCATATTGAAATCCAAATTAATCGTAATCCAAGTGCTTTAAAACATAATTAGCGTAAAACTGACACATATAAATGTGTTTTGCGTCGATGCTCTAGTAGAATCAGCTCTGACAGCACTCTTCTGCTTCAATTCCGTATAAAGATTCACTACGATATTCCTTCGCTCTGATACAGACATTTGACATTCAAATGTCATTGTTCTGACCGGTTTCAATCCAGCCGAGGCGATTTTAAATGTCACTGGACTGAAGTGAAAGATTAAATTCACCCTTTCACATATAAATCAGGTTATTATGAAGAAACTTATTGCAAACCTGCGAATATGAAATATTAAAGGGCATACAGGTTCTGTAATCAAAACCACATGCAATGCAATACACAAAAGCAACAGACAAACATTGTATACACCACACTAATAAAGTAAACTCATGCCATGGTGATTTTGGAAAGTGAGATTTGATTAGTAAACAATACTGCATGAGATCATGTGTTCATTTCAAGAACAAAACAGCCTGTGGGCTTTGAACCGAACCGCCAGCTGCATCATGGGTAAAGTCTCGTGTAAACACCAGCTCAGTTCGGCATTTGATCCAGTTTCACAGCAGATGCTCAAACTTGGCCTGGAGCTTCTTTGTCTAATTATCTGCGCTACAAACACACATCTGTGACACTGATGACAAATAGAGCCGGAATAAGACCTGAAAACTAGAGTAAAGTTCGCTGGGACAAACTGTGAGTTAGCTTAGCCATATGGAAGTTGGAAAGTTGCTTTACATTTAGTGGTGAAAAGAGAAAGAAAGACTTTGCTAGCATTAATTAACATGTTTTGCTAGCATGTTTTACCAGGTTGCTAACCTGAATTAGCCTGTTGGTAGCATGTTTTAACATGTTGCTAACATTAATTACCATGTTGCTAGTATGTTTTCTCAGTTAACATGAATAACCATGTTTTAACACATTGCTAGCATGTTTTAACATGTTGCTAACATTAATTACCATGTTGCAAGTATGTTTTCACAGTTAACATGAATAACCATGTTTTAACACGTTGCTCGCATGAATTAACATGTTTTAGCACGTTGCTAACATGGAATGGCATGTTGGTAACATGTTTTAATGTTTTGTTAACATTAATGTTGCTCGCATTTTTTCACAGATAACAAGCATGTTCCTAACATGTTGCTAGTCTGCATTAGCATGTTGGTAGCATATTTTCACACATTGTTAACATGAATAAGCATGTTTTAACATGTTGCTAGCATACATTAACATGCTTTGCTTACATGTTTTGTCTGTTTCTAGCAAGAATTAACATGTTGCTAGCATGAATTAACATTCTTGCGTTGCTTGCATGTTTCATCACATTTCTAACATGATTAAACACTTTGTCAGCAGGAATTATCATATTGCTAACATTTTTTAACACATTAACAATTTAACATGTTGCTAGCATGAATTAAAATGTTGCTAACATTAATTAGCATGTTACTAGCATGAATTAAAATGGTGCTAACATGAATTAGCATGTTGCTAACAAACATGGTTTAACCATGGGTTTAACATGTGGTTAGCAGGAATTAACATGTTGCTAACATTAATTAGCATGTTGCGAACATGAATTAACATGTTGTTAGCATGAATTAACATGTTGTTAACATTAATTATCATGTTGCTAACATGAATTAACGTCACTAACATGTCCTAAGCTAATTGCTAGCCTTTGCCAGTGATAAATTCTAAGTGTATGAAGCTTAGAGTTAGAGAGCCTAACCCTAGGGCTAAGAGTTACTGTTTTAAAGTTTTGACCCTGTAAACATTTCAACGAGACGCATGAATCTAACCTGCATTTTACAGCTGAATCACACAGAAACAGATCCTTAAAGTGAAAATTCATATTTTATTGGTTCCATACATTAATTTAATCAAGGGCAGAAATTAAGAAAACGAGGTTATTATATCAAACAGGGGCATCTACAAGGTTCAAGGTTTATTTCAATCGCAAGTGCAGACCTTTAATTCACTTAAACTGATTCAGCTGGTCAGAAAGAGGAGGGAAAAAATCAAAAATAGTACAAAATCGAGTTCAAAGGCTTCAGCATTATTGGGTGTGCGAGAAAAACAAACCAACCAGCAACAAGTTAACGGAGTCCAGTCGAACAGTTCGTGTGTGTGTGTGTGTGTGTGTGTGTGTGAGAACGAAACACAGAAAACGTGTGTTTAAAGCGTCCGGATCTGAAACAAACACAGATTGTGCCCTTGATTTCACTGAATCAGTTTCACACAAATCAAAGAAGGGGAAAGACGAGGTTCATGTGTGTTTCTCTTTTACACATTAGATCAGAATGGCTTTATGTAACTCTAAGGAGGAATACATCTCAATACAGTTATACAGAACTCTGCTACTACCTTAAATATACAAGCACAAGTACACAAAACTCAACCGAAAGCCCACGCTAAACCACTCTCTTCAAAAATAACACAAACCAATAGAATCTGAGGGCTGAGATCTTCAAGGACCTCGACGGTTCTGTTACTCCTTGGTTTGCAGCTTTCAACATCGGCAGAAAGAAAAAGAAAGAGAAAAGGCAAATAAAAACATTCTAGGGAAATCGAGGCTGGTGTAAAACTCTCCAAAACGTGTCCGAGTTGAAACGCTCTTCATGTGAACGCTGTTCCTCCACCAATCAGAGAGCAGAACACGGCCAGCTCACATTTCACTCCGAAATCAACACAAACAAACAAAAATAAGAAATGCATTTTGCTGAAAGAAAACAATGAGGTTGTTTTGTTTGCAATTAAACATTTTCTCCTGCAAAAACTAATGCAAAGCAACAGAAAAAGTTTCATTTAAATTGAAAACTAGTTTTGATAACACTTTGCTTAAAGCATTATGATGCATTATAATATTTTCAGAATCCTGGTTGTGTTTTAATGCACTATAACTGTATAGCGATGAATCAATGAGCATTAAAGCTGGTTACAATTAACATTATAAGTTGCAATACAAGGCATAATTAATGCATTAAAAATACTTTTATATATCAATCTATCTATATACCGATATATCAAGGATTTAAATAAAATATAATAAAAAAGTGTTATAATGCATTATAATATTTTCAGAATCCTGGTTGTGTTTTAATGCATTATAATTTCTGAAGGTGTAGCGATTAATATGTATAACATTATTACTTGCAATACAGGGCATAATTATAGCATTAAAAATACTTTAATAATGCACTATATATCAAGGCTTTAAATAAAAAAAAAAAAAGTGTTATAATGCATTATAATATTTTCAGAATCCTGGTTGTGTTTTAATAATGGTGTAGCGATTAATATGTATAAGATTATTACTTGCAATACAAGGCATAATTAATGCATTAAAAATACTTTAATAATGCACTATATATCAAGGCTTTAAGTAAAATAAACTAAAAATGTTATAATGCATTATATTTTCAGAATCCTGGTTGTGTTTTAATGCATTATACTTTCTGAAGGTGTGACGATGAATATATATATAATAATAATAATGTTGCAATACGAGGCATAATTAATGCATTAAAAACACTTTCATACTGCACTATATATGAATGCTTTAAGTAAAGTGTTGCTGTATTCATACATCACGGTAGTGTTTTGATTTATGCGGATTTAAAATGAATTCGACAAGCTTCTCACTGCAATCCAGTGTTATAATGCAAAATCATTGCAGGGAACTACCTTTTAAACATGGTTAATATGAAAAATATGCATATTTTCAACATGCAGAAATGCAGTGTTTTGGGGGTGAAACAGGAGCTGGGTGTTCGTTGGTCTTGTTGGCGGTTTACGTGGTCAGATCTCTCCGTTCCGTCTTAACTTAATCATGTGAACTATCTACAGGCTCTCAGAGGAGTGTCCTCCCGTAAAACACCAACAAAACCACGAGCCCTGTGTGACTGATGTCATCTCTGATCCTTCAGGTTCATTTCCTCTGCTGACAGGAAGAGTCGTTCTGCAGGTAGATGAATGAGCCGATCTTCGACCACGCCTCTTTCTTCCCATTGGACGCCGGGTCGGCCCCGCCCCCCGCGGGTCTCACTGAGACGCCTGTGAGGTGGGGTTGTCGTTCTTGCCCTCCTGGCTGGACGGAGGCTTGTTGTTCCAGGGGCTGTTAGCGCCCAGTGCGGGCGAGTTGTTAAAGCTGTCCTCGTCGTCGATGCCGTTAGCGGCGTCAAACTGCGTGTTCTCGAGCCGCGTGATCAAACGCTCGTCCTCGTCTCCGAACTCGCCGCCCATCAGCGTCGGCTCGCCAACAACCATCACATCCTGAGCAGAGCAACAGAGAACCAGAGGAGTTAGCACTCGGGGGGACTAAAGGACGGCCGCTTTTGGCACACACAAAAAAAAAAAACTAATATATATATATATTCAATTACAATAAATAGATGAATATATAAATATACATATGAATACATATCATTACAAAAATATAATATATATATATAAAATAACATTAAATACATGAATATATAAATATACATAAAAACGAATTAAAAAATATATATATAATAACATTAAATAAATGAATATAAAACTAATATACTCTAAATTACACACACACACACACACACATTGTATATTCATGTATTTATATCTATATATAGATCTATATAAAGAATCCTGAAAAGCAATTATACATAATGGTTTTCAACACTGATAATAATCATAAATGTGTCTTGAGCATCAGATCCTCATATTAGAGTGATTTCTGAAGGATCATGTGACACTGAAGACTGGAGTAATGATGCTGAAAATACAGCTTTGATCACAGGAATAAATTACACTTTACTATATATTCACATAGAGAATTTACACTGGAGTAATATTACACAATATTAGTTTATTTTGTTGTATTTTTGCTCAAATAAACACAGCCTTGGTGAGCAGAGGCTTCTTTTAAAAACTTAAAAAATCATACCGATCCCAAACTTTTGAACGGCAGTGTATATATAAATCACATTATAAACGTCGTGTATGTTTTGAATGTGCAGCTCATCGAGGACAGTACAGCGTGTTGCATGTGTTGATGATGTCAGAAGACTGCCTCCTGTGACGTGATTGGCCACTCACCGGCACCTGACTGGACAGGGGGAAGCTGTTAGCTGGGCTCTTCTTCTTGCTGTTGCTGTTGTTGTTCGTTCCTCCGCCTGCGCTCATGGTGCTGCCGCCCGACATCTTGCGCTTCCGTCTCTTACTGGGCGCCTGTCTGGCAGGTTCAGCTGCGAGACGGGACACACACACACACACACGTTAAGGCTGGAATACACTACACAAACAGCAGGCATCATACACTTGTCGACTTTTGCAAAAGGTTAGAGAGCAAAGCTGGGCATCATACACTACAGGACTGAGGATCATATATACACTATACAGAAACACATGGCGCATTCTTCTGTGATTTCCGTATTTATAAGGATTTCCGTATTTTTCGTCCTGGGAATGAAGTGAACCTGAAACGGCTGCAAACAAGTACTAAACAAACGGCAGATTGTGCGTTTCGGGCATGCACGAGCTCGCGGCTTCATCTCCTAGTATCTCAACACGATCACTCAAGCGCGTGATCCGTGATCTGGATGGTACGTTTTTTCCTTCTTTTTATGACTTTACTCGATCTCGTAAGTCGTCTCAATTTTTTCTCGATCTTTGTGACTTCGCACCCTTGATTTCCATCGTCTGGTCAGCGTATTATGACTGTACAGGGTACCCCCAGGATCCTCCAACTTAAATTCAAGGCTTTTTAAGACCTTTTTAATACCATTTCAAATGAAATTCAATGCCAACTTCGTACCCATTCCCACAGAAGTATAAGGGGAAAATGTCAAATCTGTATACATTTTAAACCCTAGAAACTAATTATGTACAAGGAGGCTACTTGAATTAAATAAAAATTTTTACTTAAATTATCAGTCATATTTAATACATACGCAACAGCATTGTAGCGCGCACGTGTGTGTAGGCCAGTGTTAATGTTGGCAGCCGTTTTTGATTTACGAAAATGCTTATTGGTCTTAATCACATTTGAGTCATCCTGTTTTTTATAGTTGTAGTTGACGAAAAGTCTTTGCATTTTTTGTCAACTTTTAGTCAAACTGCAGTTACTTTACTTTTGGTAGTTATTTTATATGTGGTCTTTAGACAGAAAATGTCATAATTATTCTCTCTAGGCCAATTCAATTAAGCTTATGAGACATTATTGACATTGCACTCTTTAGCAGTAGCACTTGTGCAGTTCTACATAATTTGGTTCTCCAATGTTTTAGAGTGCCGTACCCCCTGGTGCAGTCACACCTTTTCTATTAAGGGACAAGATTTGCTCCCTTTAATACATTTTTCCATTTCATTTTTTACCTTTGTAATACCTTAAAAAAAGAAAAAGAAATAATGCTTTAAATAAAACAATGTTCATTAAATTTGCAATGTTAAAAAACATTAAAATCGCCAGTAGGTGGCAGTACCTCACTATCTTTATGAGTGAGTCTTTGAGTCATTCATTCATTAAATCTCACGATTCGTTCAAAGCCACATATTTCGTTGCAAAACAGAGCAAGCCTGACAATGCTGTTTTAAATGTAGTACATCACTTAATGTTACCCTTTTTTCTTTTCTTTTTTACTGTTGTATAAAATCAATGTCACGTTTGAAATCGTGTGGATATTCGGGAAACATTGCATTCCTGCTCGTATGAACACTGGTGGATATCAGCCTGCATTTTGATCGCAGATTTAGTCGCACAACCAGCGCAAGCGGCTCGTGACAGAACACAGACCGACTGAATGACACTTAAATTTAAGTAGAACATCTTAAATAAAGATCGCTGAATTCCAGCTTGTCTGTGTTTTCAGATCATCCGCGCTTCTTCAGCAGTGTGGAGAGAACGCGCGCGCATGGTTGCCAGATACTGTTGAAAAGACCGGGTAGAAAATATGTTCTTTTAACAGAAAAGCTCTTATTTGGGGTTTAAATTTCTGTCATTTGTGGCCACAGCGGATTAAACTAGGCTATCTTGTTCTGTACCTCACTTGAGTAACCATAGTAACGGTGCGCTATCGCCTTTTCTGCTATGACGTGGAGCGCGAGGTGCACTCAACGCTGCATACATTTTGAATTAGCCTACATTAGTAACAGTTAATTTTGTTACGGTATGAACTTAATCCTAGCAAAGGCAAAAAAATATATAAGACCTTTGTAACGAAATCCAAGACTTTGTATACTAAATTCAAGGCCTTAATTTGAGATGATCAAATTCAAGACTTTTTCAAGGCTTTTAAGACCCGCGGGTACCCTGCTGTATTATGTACAGTATTTATTAGAGATGCATCATACACTACATGTGTTCTAAAATCGGCTCAAAATATCGAACGTGTTTAGATGTCGTCCGACTGGATGGAGTCTGTGCCCATCATACACTTAATGATTTTCTGTGAATTCTGTCAACTGCGAACACACAAAATCTGCAGACTGGCACAGACATTCGGCAACATCTGCGACTCACCCAGATCTCAAAACGGGGCAAAAATCTGAGCAAAAGTCGTGTAGTGTATTCCAGCCGTTACAGGGACACACTCAGGACACGGGACATTTACGGGACACACACGCGTTACAGAAACACCGGCGGGACACACACACACACGCGTTACAGAAACACCAGCGGGACACACACACACGCGTTACAGAAACACCGGCGGGACGTCTGACAACAGACTGAACGGTTCCTCACCTGGTGGAGCCACCATCCTCTGCCACTTCTGGAACAGACACGTCTTCAGACAGTCTCGGGGACTCAGACTGTACGTCTTGTGCCTGGACATCAGCTCCTGCATGGGCTCCAGGATTACACACAACTGAGACACACACACACACACCAAGAGAAGTTACTCTTCTGCTGAATGAAAGGGGATACATACTTCATCCGCGAAAATGGAGCTTTCTGAAGATGCTCTCCCAAGAGGACACATTTAAAACAGTATTTTTGCATTGTAGTGTGGACTGAAAGCAGAGGTATTCGAAAACGATGATGTATTGTACCCCTAGATGTCTGTTTATACTGTCTGAGCCTGCTATGTGCGGTTCAGTGTCACAGTGAGTGTTTACATGCATGTTCTTAAACCAATTATGCTTTAGCAGATAACGCATAAACGTGTTAAACTGTTTTTCTTTATTAGAGTGATGTCATAAACGGGTTAAGCATCCAGATGCAAACACATTAACCTACGTTTGTTGCTCGATTTAAAATCACAACCGACATAAATTGAATATTGGGAGTCAGATAAATGAATGATTAGGTTTTAACATCACCACCAGGAAATAACCTGATTTATTAAAGTCCCCCTGTGGTGAAAATCCAGCTTTTAATGTTGTTTATGTGTCTATGTGGTGTTTTTAATACGCTTAAACCATGTGTAAGTTCATAAGTCGACAGCATTGCTGAGTATTTCCTGCTTAAAACTGCAGTGAACCAAAGACAGTCTCAAAAACACGGTTTGAAATCGCTGGTGTTTCTGACGTCACAAACGACCTTGTAACCAATCAGATCAACGTGTGATCGTCAACCAGTGGATCTCTGAGCTGAGTGAGTGAGTGGAGGCGGGGCTCATTTGCATATTCATAGAACCGCACATACTAAATGAGGTGTCGAGTTACATTCAAGATATTTTAAGGCATGGAAAGGAAAGGAAAAAACTAATTTTGGTGATCAAAGATGAGTTTTAAGAGATACAATTGTTGACTACACTTTAATAAAGCCTTGTAAACAGTTTGGGTTTTACATTGTTGGGTTACTGGCTTGCATGTACACTGGGACAATAGTTTTTCAGCATATTGGTGTGCCAAATATAAATGTGACTTTGTACAATCTTCATATTGCATTCCTGCTAAGATGACAGAAAAATTAACTTGCGATTGCTGTCCTGCAGCAAACCATGAGAGCAACTGCGTTTTAGACACAGTGAATAGCGGCCTGGATGCACCACTGAGTAGCCGGATATTTTGTTGATAAAATGATTGTGATCGAAGTCTGGTCTCTCTGTATCAACGCAGTGTGCTTTTATCACATTTTACGCAAAGGCAGTAAGATTATTCTAGCGCGTTCCGACATTTCAGTGTCAGGGTTTCTGCTTCACTGTCAGGCTTCACATTTTTTAAAGTCAAATGTAAGGCTTTTTAAGACTTGAAGAAATAATGAATACTGTACATTAGAGGTGTGCAATACTGACAAAAACAAGTTTTGTTGATGGCATAATTAGATGATATTTAGCTGAGTGTGTATTTGTGTTGGTACCATGGCTGGTTTAGACAGCTGACTTACAAAGACATTCATATTTTTCATATTCTATGCGGTGGTCAGTAATTGAATTTTTTATTAAGGGGCAATGCAATATTTGCCATAAATTGATTTCCAGGGGCATTTTTACCTAGGCTATATAAAGGCATTTCTTCCAAACGTATTTGATGTATGCATCACCTTATGTCAAATTCTAAAATTCAAATTAAACTCGATTAGAATAATAACACAGATTGGCTGTTACCAATCAAAGAAAAGTTATCAACAAAATCCATCTTTGCAGCGCAGAAGTGACATTAATATATTTACAATGCATTTAAAATTACATAAATAATGCTATGAGATTGTTTATATTATTATTCAATATTTAAATTTAATTTTTAATTAAAGGGTATTTTAAATATGAAACTAAAACCGGTAAAGTTTAATTTGATATTTAGATACAGCCAAGTTAAAGTAAAAGAATAATGACTTTTTATGGCCTTAAATTAAAAAAAATAATAATTTAAGACTTTAAGGATCTGTGAGTGAGAAACACACTTGTAAAACACCAGTGAGTGTTTTAAAACTACAGTAGTCAACATTTAAAGTGGATCAAAACCTTTCATCAAAGTTATACATGAATTTTGAACAATACCCGTTCTTGTCCGATGACCTTTTTTGATCCAGTTCAAATGTTGACTACTGTAAATGCTGTTCTCAAATGCATCCAGATTAATGTATAGGACGCCAGTGTTGTGCTCGTACTCTGAGGTAGTTGAGGGTGGAGTTTGACAGGCCGCATCTGGTGATGTTTTTGGACAGCTGATCCAACATCTGCGGGTCTTGTGCCTGAGACGGACACAAAAGCACACGATCATCAGGTATGAAACATCAGATATAAAAACAAACATGTAATTCTACTTTGAGACCCATGAGGAGGAACTGACATGCATGGCCAAGATGCTGCGGGGAATGAGCTCTCTGTGCTGCCGGATGCTGAAATGCCATGTCTTTATTCTCATCATGTCATCGAACATGAACTCCAGGTAGAGACGGCCCTCCACACACACCTGAGAAGACCAGCAGAGTTACACACACACACACACACACTGTGGAATGGTTTACCTCATTACATCCGGCAGTGCACCACTCGTTTAAACGACATTTAAAAACATATTAGTTTATTCTGGCGTTTGATCATACATGAGTGTTGTGTTAGTGATGTACGGGTTTTTATTGATGCCTCATTAGCCATGTTTCCATCCACTTGTCAATCGAATTATCTGAAGTTCGGTAAAAAACCACATGCAAATAAAGCTGGTGAAAGTGTTTCCATCAAACGGCTTTAAAGGGGTCATATAATGGTAAATGCACTTTTACAAGTTGATTGTACTGAAATGTGTGTTGGCAGTGCCTGTACACAACCATCATATAATGATAAAAATCCATCCAGTGGTTTTGTTTTAATCTCCTTATATGTTTTCCCCTGTCTTAAATTGAGCCGTTCGTTTTTGTGACGTAAATAAAACGGACGCCCCTCCCACGATTGTTGATTGACAGCCGCGACAGCCACGTTTCAACACAGACCCGCCCTCGCTAGCTGTCAATCATAGTCAGCGCGGACCGGCGCGGTCATTGTTGATATGCTGGAGCACTGTCTATGAGCAGAATGGCGTCTAACGGTCTAAGCGATTGTGGTGTTCTGTTCTTGGGTGTAATAACGAACACAGCAGTCATTTTAATGTTCCTAAATCCGAACCGCTGAAGACGCAGTGGCTGAGTTTGTTTTCGAAGGGAATATTCCCCACGAGCAACGTCAATGCTCTCATGTTTGCCGAATCATTTCTCACCAGACTGCTTTATAAACGAGGGTCAGTATGAGCTGGTTTTGCTAAGAAGCAGCTCCTGAAGAAAGGATCGGTAGCAGATATTCGTGTTCCTGCTGAACCTCCAAAAGAACTGAAGTGAGTGTAACGTTTTATTAAACTTTATATTAATATTTATATTAATCCTTGTAAATCGCTAGCTGCACGCTTCACAATGAATGCGTCTAAGGTTTACACTCAGGGTACATTACGGCATGTTTTCTATGTATGACGTTCTCAATATAATGCATAATCCCACGTTTATACCGAACAACGCGTTATGGTTATTGTGTTATTGTGTTACAAACGGTGTACGCCAGAGCCGGCTCTGGTGACGCATAGAACAGAGAGGCGGGGTGAGCAAAGCTCATGATCATTTAAAGTCATATGCACTGAAACGGCGTGCTGAAAACAGAGCTGTTTTTGACCAGGTAAAATAAGTGTTTTCTTGCAATACTAATGAGAATTTTTAATTAAAGTATATTACAAACTTTTCATTTAGACCCTAAAGAATCATATTAGCTTGTACAAAAATGGCATTATATGACCCCTTTAAAGCGGATAAAAACCTGTGCGTAATGACGTCACATGCTGTTTTGCGATCAAATTGGTATATCGAATTGATTTGAGACATGTTAAGGTGTTTCCATTCATTTTCTCACCGAATTGCACAACATTCAAGCCAACATTTGCGAACAAAGTTTTACTAGGCAAAATGGATCGCGCCATAATAACGTTTCCATCCGCGTTTATCGCATAAGCTATATATCAATCAAGATAAAATCCGATGAGACCGATCGTATTTCATTTGAGTCGATATTCACGAAATTCAATCAAATTTTACTGTTTCCATAAGGCATTTTTCATTCGATATCACTAAATGCAGATAAAAACGTGTGGATGGAAACATAGCTATTGATTCTCTGGTTTTGTCTGTGTTGTAATGATATAGAATTTGAATGTGATTTTACAATTATTACGCTTTGTCCCATGTACAGCACTGCGCTTGACTGTTGTTGTATTAATATGTGCTTTAAAAATAAATTGAACATTCAACATTGAACACACACACACACATACCAAAAACGTTGCATTAAACAACACACACACACCTGCGTAAACATGGGTTTGCCGTTCTGCGTGACCATAGTACACTGATCACAGTCCAGAGACACGAAGTTGTTGTGGAAAGACTCTTTCGGGTGTTTCAGGACGTAGTAGAGCTCGTTGGCGCCGCCCTCAAACACACTCCTGAAGTAACGAGGAATCAGCGTCCGACCGATCGCTGAAGAGAGATGATAGTGCATCCGTCAGAACAACGAATCAATGCAATTCTCAAGTGTCAGGAAAATCTTTAACTGAATGTAATGATGAGCAGCGCAATATTAATGTGCAATTATTCAGAATTTTCTATGAATAACTCAAACCTCATTTACAGCAGGTGATGTTTGTCTGAAGCAATCCGATCGCAGGTGATCAATAGTAAATACAGATGCAAACACTGAACGGGTGTTTCCCGAAAGCATCGCTAGCCAACTATGGTCGCAAGTTTCGTCGTTATCAGCAGTTTAACGAGTCGTGTTTCCCGAAACCATCGTTTTAACGAACATTCGCAAACAGCATCGCAGAGGTGTGTGTGTGAGCGACAGATCTCGAGCTGCGGTTAGAGGAGTTTCTCGTTTGCATGACATGTGGACTCAGTTAATCCTGATCTTGAGCAAAATCAGCAAGCTGACATTCAGTGCAATCATACAGTGGTGTGAATAAGTTATTACCCCCATGCTAAAGTTGCCTAAAAAGAGGAATAAAAAAATCATCTTTTGGAAATTGATCTTAATGCCTTAATTAGAAAAATGAGGAAAAATCCAACCTTTAAGGACACCAATTTTCTTTGTGTATGAATAATGTATCATAAATAAATAAATGTTCTTCCTTAAAATACAGGGTGCATAAGTCAGACCCCCCCCCTATGTTAAATTCCCATAGAGTCAGGCAGATTTTTATTTTTAAAGGCCAGTTATTTCATGGATCCAGGATAATATGCATCCTGATAAAGTTCCCTTGGCCTTTGGAATTAAAATATCCCACATCATCACATTCCCTTCACCATACCTAGAGATTGGCATGGTGTTATTTCAGTTAGCCTAATAGCTGGTTTGATTTGCATTGAAAGATGATCTTATGGAAAGTACCCCATGCCAATCTCTAGGTATGGTGAAGGGAATGTGATGATGTGGGATATTTTAATTCCAAAGGCCAAGGGAACTTTATCAGGATGCATATTATCCTGGATCCATGAAATAACTGGCCTTTAAAAATAAAAATCTGCCTGACTCTATGGGAATTTAACATAGGGGGGGGGTCTGACTTATGCACCCTGTATTTTAAGGAAGAACATTTATTTATTTATGATACATTATTCATACACAAAGAAAATTGGTGTCCTTAAAGGTTGGATTTTTCCTCATTTTTCTAATTAAGGCATTAACTCTCTGGGGTCGGCGGTCTCGCCGGCGATACCAGCTCACTTTTTTCCTTATCAGTGCAAAAGAGACTCAAATTACTCTGTTAATTTTGATCTTACATATAAGTGTTGTACATCATTCGATCCTGTTAAGTTTGTATTTTTCTTGTGGAACCTCATAATAAAAACAAAGTGTTGTGCTTTTCGCCTAATAAAGAAAAATAAACATGATGCGCGTTCTGCGTTCTCTCTGTCAGTGAAGTCCATTCTGAAACGCGTCCGAAAAATCATCTGTAACTCTGCAAATACTCAGTCAAACAGGTATACAGGCACACAGGCATGAAGCCTGAATTATCTTCTTTTAAATGAAGTAATTTATATATAAAAAATTTTTTCTCATTTTATGTAATCTGTACGAAAAGAGAGAGATGATAGTCGTTCTCGTCTCAGCTCATTAAAGTTAATTTGACCACGCCCACGGAGCGCACGCTCTATTCAAACACAAATGCTCTGAGGCGATCCACGCCCACATCAGCTGGATAACCCACCGAAAGAGACTCAGATTTACAACGCTGTGAGGAATAATAGTACTATCTTAATAATAATCCTGGAAAAAATTACCTCAGAAGTAGGCTACAGGTAGTTTCATTTGGAGGAGCAACGGATCCAGCCGAGGAATAGGTACATTCTTTATTTTCAAGTGCTTTGTGCTAATCGCGATATGGAATAGTGTCTGTAAACAAAAAGACTGTTTGAATCGCGTTTTTGTGTGTGAATGAATGAACAGCTTTTACCTAACTATATTCCAATACTGAGTGAGATGAGTAAAAATCGACTGAAATATGTTGAAATAAAATATTTTTGTATAAGCAACGTATTAAACTGCAAATTAACATTTATATGTCCTAATCATAAAAACGATATGTTACATATGAAAGACAAGATGTCGTTTTTACTGTAAAATACTGCCACATCAAATAAGCTTGTTTGCTAAGATGTTATTATAGTGTTTGTTCGATTGTAAGCTATATTCAAACTAATTAATCCGCAACTGTGAAATATGTATGATAAAATGTATACTTTAGTATATAATACAAAGAAAGATTACATTTGAAATATAGTTAAAATTTTCATTGTTGTTGTAATTGTAACCTTTTTATTAAAATAGCAAAAATATATGTAGGCTACATATAAATAAATCTTAGGTAAATCTTAAAAGCTCAATATAAGCCTCCTCTTTAAATTATTTGTATTGTGTTTTATTAGTGACACATTTGGGATACGTTCCCAAACTTTCTGTAAAAACAGTATGATAATTAACTGCACAATTACTAGAAATTTTTACATTTGATATTATACAATTTGCAAGCACAATTTGAAAAATAAATAAATAATTGGAACTGTGAACCAATTTTGTATTATATAGGCATATATATATATATATATATACAGTATATATATATATATATATATATTGTCATTGCATTCTTGTGGCTCAGTGACACACCTGAATGAAAGGGTCATTAGTATGCAGCCCCATTATGCGCTCATTATGCGGGCCCATTGTCTTCTCAGGTGTGAATCACAGCAGGTCACACCCCTGCGCATATTGCCTTTCCAAACAAAAAGTGTCATTTTTAAATTTAAACCAATCTATTGTTTTATGTGAATAATAAGGCAGGATGATTTTCAGATCATTTTGAAGAAAAAACTCTAGGCGACAACATCCATTAGTCAAAAGTCTTGTGGACAGATATTTAGTATGTGTTTTGTGGCCTTATTTCAGAAACTTTAAGTTTTAGTTTTTTCAATAACCACGCATAAACATTATTCTCTCAAAAATACAAAAATGTACATACATGTTGATAACACATTATGGTAGCCCTATTTGTGCTATATAGAGTGTAATTACACCTTTGCCAGTAATACGTTTATAAGCAACTGAAAAAAGCACAAAAGTCAGAGTATGTCAAAACATCTCAAGGACCCCAAAAACACCTTGGACCCCAGAGGGTTAAGATCAATTTCCAAAAGATGATTTTTTATTCCTCTTTTTAGGCAACTTTAGCATGGGGGTAATAACTTATTCACACCACTGTATCTTTTATGTAGAACACACACTAATGTCATTTACGTCTTTTAGTTTGTCGAGAGATTTAAAGCGTCGTGTTTGAAGAGTGCGCGTGTGAACGAGCTCTAGTGTGTAAGAACGAGCCGATGAGTGAATCTGGAAATAAAGCAAAATAACTGAGAAAAATGAGAAATATTCCTCAGATGCATGTCTGTAATCTATAGCAAAACATCCAGCATTAGTTCGATCTCAAACAGATTCATTAACAGTAGTTATTACTCCAAACTAGGGATGAGTCGCGATCTTCGAATAGTCGAATTGCGTTCGAAATTCGATCATAAAGTTGCTTATTGGAATATCGATATATTTTTCCAATGTGACACAATGTGACATAACTTAATTGACGGCGCACCTATACTGTCACAGATCGCGCAGCAGAGTATTTTCCTGTCGGCGACACAAGGTGTCACTAACATGAATGAATCCCCCTCCTGCGCGATCTAGGATACCAGCGTTTTATACATAGTGTAAACAAACAACAGAAGAAGAGCATTGTCTGACCGTTAACTCTGCGCCCAGCAGTGGTGGGTATAGACTAACCTTTACGGTCTATGGTAGTAACCGTCTATGGTAGTAACAAAGTAGGCTACATTTACTTCACTACGTTGGGCGACGTTCCTCTCGTACTTTATTTGAATGAAATACATGTTGTTAAATGCGTAGTTTATTCCAAGCGCGCGGTGTCTTTTTTAATGGGCTTGAGGCGAGCGATGCTCCATTCACAAATAAATCACTCTTTTGAGTCGATTCTGTTGAAAGACTTCATCATACAAGTTGGCAGATCTGTCTAAATCGGTTCGCGAATCAGTTTGAATGATCTGTTCAGTTCCTCACGCACTGAATCGTCTGAAGCGCTTTCAATTCACACTCGACACGGAGTCGTAGCAGGAAGATTTAAGAACATCAAGAGCGTTGGATGAAGTGGCCGTGGACCTACAGTACTGTCTAGTGAAAGCAAATCTGCAAATGCATCATATTTTGCCAGCGATGAAGATCTAGTTGAACATCTTCGTATGATGTCTGTGAATGAATGATTCCACAGGACGATACATTCTAGTTCATTTCATTCAGGTAATACATTTTACAACCAAACAGATTATTACTCGACGATAGCACCACAAGTATGATGACATTGACCATTGTCCAGTTTATGAAATGAACACCCGTCATCCCGCGGTAATGTGTGTGTATTGCGCAGTGGCACGAATAGTTTTGATTGAAACTAATTTGTTCAAAAAGTAGGCTTTTGCAGTATAAGGCAGGTTTCCATAAAATCATTATGACATTGTTTTTTTTTTATCTAACGAGCATCTGGTTTGGAGATGCAAAAGCGGACTGTCGTGCTTATTGTTTTTTTCTTCTATGTTAAGTACCATGTACAGTACTAAGCTAAGTTACCGGTATGTAAAAAAAACCCGAAGAAAACATGTTAATTGTTCAATTAATAAACAGTTTGTTTGATGACAAATCGATAAAGATGAAATTGGCCTCCCTTTCTGTCATTGTGAGTGTGCGTTTTTTTTCTGTTTTTTTTTTTCTTTTCGATTTTCGAACGATAATCGACTTTTGCTCCTCGATTTTCGAATGGCATTTTTGGCAGAAATTCACATCCCTACTCCAAACACATGCGTGACATCATTAACCAGCGCGGGTGAACGACCAATTTGCAAAAATATGGTTTCGGGAAACAGTCGAGACTCGCTAGTGGATTTCTTCAACGATGCGTCGCAAGTTACGAGTTACGGCGCTGTACGGGAAACACACTCCTGATCATTCAAACCACATCCAGAGGTTGCATCACGGTTGTAGTGTAAATGATAATGCATCCTGGAAAAGAGCTAATCTTGTCCTGATCTTAACACAAATCTGAAGTAACACTGAGCACTTCATACTGAATATCACGTCTGCGATGAGACAAAGCATCTTTTTTACTCGCTGGCATTGTGAGTCAGAAAGAGAGACAGACACAGATGTCAATATCTTATTGTCTGATATGAGATACTCACTGTATCGTTTAGGACCGTCCTCCAGACAAAACGTGATGGTGAGCATAGCATCATCCTCAAAGAACTCGGTAGTGAAAGCGTCCCACCACAGATTATCACACTCCTGAGAGAGAGAGAGAGGAATCATTCATTCAGCTGATGTTATAGGGTTTATGTCACGCATATGAAAAGCATCTTAAATGTTGCTGATAGTTAAGCATGAAACATCAAACTCACCTCCGTCCAGTTCTGAAGCCGTTTGTTGAGTTCAAATATCCTGTAGTCTGTCTGATTCCCGTAAGGTGTGTGTCTCCTGAGACAGAGAGTGCGTGTGTTAGTTAGTGCTTTTAATAATAAATATCCTAATACAGCATCTGTGTGTTTTAATCCTGTAATTCTACTGTATTATATTTGATACACACTAAGGCCTGTGAATGACCGAAATTATCTGATAAACCTGTCGCACACACTCTCCTCCAGTCCTTCTGTGTGTGACAGAGTTTAGACTCTTTTATCCAGTAAAAGTCTCTCAGTGTAATTGTACAAACGTCCTCCTTCAGCTCGAGCTTCACGAGTCTTTCTGTGTCAAATCTACACTGAGTTTATCAAGTAAACGCGAGAATAACTCTGATATTGTTAGTAATATTTCGGCTGGACTGAAGCAGGTTTATTGACTATAATCATCATTTATTCGAAAAATCATGAGTATCAAATATGATCATCAGGCTTATTTGTTCATCTCTCAATAATCATTGTATTGCATTATGTTTTAAAACAACAGAGCTTTGCTCATAAAACGACGTATTTAAATATCATCTGACTAAGACATATTATTTAAATGCATTTTATGTAAGTATCTGCTATAAAGATCTCACTGATTTACATTACAAGCATCAGAATTTCATCATTTTTAGTGCATATAAATATCATCATCTGCAGCAACAGCTCGTCTTTACTCAGTTTGAGTCTCTGAATAAAATTAAGGTGTTTTTTAAATCCATATTCTCACTATATCAGACTATACGTGTCTGATGCATAAAAAAAAAAAAAAAAACTTTTTAAAATATATTTTGTCTAAAGTTTAAATGAACGGTTTAATAGCAGACTATTATTTCCTATGTCAGGCGTTCCAGGTTAAAGGGCTCACCCGATGCCCGGCTCCAGGTATGTGGGGGGGTACATGGGCGTCGGGCTGCAGGAACAAGACAGAAAACAAGACCACCATGAACGATAATGTCAAACCTCATGACATGCTGCATAAGTTGCTATAAAACAGACTGTAACACACAATCCGACACTGAAGCGAACAAGTGCAGTTTTCTGTCCATTACAGACAGGAAGAAAAATTAATCGTGTTTTATAGATGTCATTTCACGGTATCATTTTGGACAGAGATTTCAGTTTTTGATTTTTACATCCTTTATGATATTACAGGAGAAATGCTCTTATTTTTGCTTTCTAAACACTGTTCTTGTTCTTTTAGATAACGCAATCAAAATCATGTGCATGCTTGGAAAAGGGTCATATCCACAAATCTACATTTACAGCTTTGAAACCAAAATTGATAGTCTTTCGCTCTGAATTAAAAGGTCTTGCTGATTCCCTATGTACATTTAAAAGAAACAAAAAAGCAATTAAAACATCCCAGATATTAAATAAGATTATAAAGTCACCTGTGAACAGATACCATGTTTAGATCTTTCTATCCCCCTACTTCAGTCAAAACGAAAGTAATGCAAATCTGTTATCTGTTTAAATGTCATTACTGTATGTCCCTCGTACAAAGTCAATTGTTCTACTCATTAATTTCAAATGTCAGTAGGATTAATGTTAATGGAATGAAAGTTAAAGGTTGATACTTGCAAAATGTTAATAAAAATAAAAAAACGGACAGGAAGACAGTCGTTTTCTGCACTTTATCAGCCCGCCACAGAAGCTTTGACACCCACTATGGAAACCACACCCTCTTCCTCGAATACGGTCTAATCCTGGACGCTGACTGCCAGCTCGTGTCCCCCACAGAGGGATGAGCACTCCATGTTCCCGTATCTGACCGAGACCAGCGCTGATGCAGCTCCTCCGTCCACAGGAACTCGCAGCGCAACATCCGTTCACAGACACCGAACCTCACAACTATCCTTTCTGGAGCTCAAACAGTAGAGCGTTAGCGCTTGCAACGCCAAGGTCATGGGTTCGATTCCCAGGGAAAGCAAGAACTGATAAGAATGTAAAAAATGTGTACCTTGAAGTGCAATCTAAGTCGCTTTGGATAAAAGCATCTGCCAAATACATAAATGTTTAGAACTCAAAAATATACTTATAATATCCCTTGACTGACAGGGTTTCTAAAATCGAATTGAATGCCTTTCTGACCTTTTTACGACCCACACAAATGAAATTAGTATCTGTGTGTCCATTCAGAAAAGCATGATACAATCTGAGAATCTTTACCTCGATTAAACAGGCTTCGGCACACATTCAATGAGGACTTAGAACGTCTCAGCAAAACGACAAGTTTAAAATAGTCAAGACATTTTATTTTTTATATGAATATAGTTGGAGTGATCAAGCAACATTAGCAATATTACACTGGATTAGATGACAGATAAAGTTCACTCTGTAAGTGTTATGACTGTATACCGCATCTCTTAAATGTCCGCCTAGTTTGAACTTGCCGCGCTAGCCACTGCTCTCTCCGCGGAAGCTTTGCGTAATAAAATATTTTGACTCAGAACAATATTTCCTGTTTAATTATTTACTTGTGGCAAGTATCCATTTACATTACATTTATATTTATGCATTTGCAGACGCTTTTATCCAAAGCGACTTACATTGCATTTCAAGGAACACATTTACATTCTTAACAGTTCTTGCTTTCCCTGGGACTCGAACCCATGACCTTGACGTTGCAAGCAAGTTTACAGCCGGTTGTTATCTCAGAATAAACCCCCTTCAGGTGTGTGTGTGTGTGTAAGGGATAATGTACATCCAGCCGGTTATCATCTCAGAATAAACCCCCTTCAGGCTGATGAAGATCTGATCCTGATCACCCGGTCGGGTTTATTCTGAGATAACAACCGGCTGGATGTACATTATCCCTTACACACACACACACCTGAAGGGGGTTTATTCTGGATGTACATTATCCCTTATTTACATCCCTTTACCATTTACTCTGAGCTTGTAGCAATGCACTCTGAATGATACCGGTGTGTGTTACAAATTACTGGCCAGTGTGTGGATATTACAGTGACTGATCTCAGCTCAGCTCACCCCACGTCTCGGTCCAGCATGGTGCCGGGGTGGAAGGGGGGGAAAGCACTTCCGTTGGGGGGCTCCTTTGGAGAGTACAGCTTGAACGACTTGGAGGAACAGCCTGAGCGGAGACAGAGAAATGATTCGACACATTAGTCAAACATCAGGAGAGTTTAATGACATCACATTCATCATCATATAGTGATTTCTGAAGGCTCATGTGACACTGAAGACTGGATTAGGGGTAATGATTAGGGGTGGGGGAAAAATCGATTCTTAGATGCGGACGTGGACGATTCTGAATCGATTCACAAATATAAAAAATCGATTTTCAAAAGAATTTTATTTTTTTTATATATATATATATATGTATATATTTATAATAACGTAATATTGACGGAACGCAAAAGACGCAACTCTGAAGTGCGGAAGTGCAGTGGCCGGACCGTCTGTGGCGCGCACATAACAGAGACCCGAGGGCTGAGCGCGATATCCAAACACCCTCCGCGTTAAAAGCTGACGTGTGGAAATATTTTGGCTTCTGAAGTTGAAGGGGGAAAGGAGCTGGACAAGAGACACACTATTTGTAAGCTTTGTAGAATAAAACTAAAATATTTCGGAAACATGAGAAGCCATATGACACGTTTCCACCCAGGAGGAAAAACACTCGGCTGTAGGCTACCGGTCGTTGTTATATTATTAATTTACTACAAGTATGCTGCTAGTTCAGGCACACATTTATTTTCCTGTTGGTTCTTTGCAATGTTAATAAAATATATTGTACGTTAATTCTTTATGGGTCTTCAAAGTATTTATAGTCACACACACACACACACACACACAAAAGATTCAGATAATCGATAATCGCTTTAGCATCGAATCGCAATTGAATCGAATCATGAGGTGCCTAGAGATTCCCACCCAGGGTCCGAAATTAACTTTTTGGCTCACCTGCCACGGGGACTGGTAGATGAAAAAATCCACCAGCCAAGCATATTTTTTACCGGCCAAAATAATAAACAGCCTTTTTGTGTCACATATACATTAATTTATATATAGGCTATATTTAAACATTTTTGTCATTATATTTCTGGTCTATCATTTTCCCTTCTTACTTTTATTTACACACATATTACATAATTTACACACATTGGGTCTCATTCATGAAACACGAGCAGAACGATTTTTTGTGTAAATCGTGTGTAAAGTGGTTCTGGCGTAAATTTTCGGATTCATTAAAATGTTCGTATTTTCCAAATGTTAGTTGGTACACAAGAAATCTACACCTGCTCCTAGCCACGCGTACATAGTGCGCTTAATAGGGGTGGGAATCTTTTACCATCTCACGATTCAATTAGATTCCGATTCTTGAGGCCACGATTCGATTCAAAATCGATTTTCGATTCAAAAAGATTTTCGATTCAAAACGATTCGATTTTATCCATAATGATTTCTAATCGGGTTTCTGATCATGATCTACTCTCATCTGCTTTGCTTTACAGAATGACAAACGGAGACATTAAAGTGTCTTTTTCACATCAAAATCCTGTCTATTCATTGTAGGCATTTAGTGTATACACTAAATGCCTACAATGAATAGAAAGGATTTTGATGCAAGATGCAAAATTGATGCTGAAAATTGGACAAGTCAGAACAGTCGCACGCCTTGATCAAACAGGATCAGGTTATTTTATGTTTAAGATAGATAGATAAATAAATATCAGTTATCATTTTTTAGACAATTTTTTATTACATTGATCTCACCTAAATGTTTGTTTTTACCATTTTTGTTAAGAGTTTATGCAACACATGGAAGCTTGATTTCAATCTTTGAATTAAATTGAAAAAAGTAGCACAAATGCAATAGAATAAAGACACAAATAAAGAGATATAAAAAGAAAAGTTAGGTCAGAAATACAGAAACTGAATAAAGTAATCCAATGTAAAATAACACTGGATAGTCTTTTAGTCCTGACTGAATTAAATACATAGGCTATTAATTATTATGTTGTTTTGAAAACAAAATTAACGACAGACACATACGGCGGCGTTCACTTTAAGAACTAGTGCACGGATCCATTACTGTTTCATTATACTGTCTGTCACACGCGTTTCATGCTTATTTAAGACATAACCGACTGTCTTTACGAGGTTACTCACCAAGGCCAGAGTTTTGACATAATTTTGCGTGTTTTTAACTGTTAAAACGATATAATCCACGAAAAAGAACTTTTGTTACTGGCGAGCTGTTTGTGAGGCGGATTTAGGCTTTACTGCTTGTGCACGCAGTGAAAACATCTCTGAGAGTGCGCGAGCACTGGATAGTTTAAAAATTGCTTGAATGTTTAAACTGGTAAAACTTAAAAAGACGTGAAAATGATAAACGTTAGTTACGATGCAATGCTGGCCCGATTGTGCAAGTGAATATTCCGTCATGTCCCGACTCCTAACTGTACGTTCACACCGCCGCCGACTTGAGCTTCCAAAGCGGCCGGAAGTCATTCATTTTCAATGGAAGCTGGCTTCTCTCAGCTGCAAGGAGCGTCAAATCCCTCGGCGTCGCGTTTTGGGCGTTTTGAGCGTCAATCAGAAAGTTGAAAGAAGCTCAACTTTATGGTAATGAGCTGTGACACGGTTCAGCGGCAAGCAGCGGCAAAACGCCAGCAACCAATCGGAATATAGACGTCCCTCGCGCTGGCTGATTCCGGAGAAACACACGCTGTAAACTTTCGTTCCTACCAAAACAAGTTCCGAGAAAATGGAAGAGAAGCCAATAATCGCCGTTGCTGGGTTTCCTATCATTTATGACATGACGTTGTTTGCTTATAGGGACCGTGAGAGCGCAACTTTTATTTGAAATATTTACGATCGCTCGTTTTAAAGCGAGAATGCAATTCATTTGCTCACGGTGACACCGATTTGACCGCAAATAATAATAATAATAGTTCTATTCTTTTTTCCCCGACCAAATGTGACCAAAACGGTTATAAAAATGTTGTCATTATAAAAGATTTCTTTAATGTATTGCTAGTTTTTTTCTGTTTATTACATTTTATGTTGTGACACTTCTATTCTCCCTGCAACTTCAGAGCGTTCAAAGCGTCCAAAGCGTCAACAAGCTTCCCTGTACTTTTTGACAAGCGTCCTTGACAGGGCGGCCAGAGCTTCTTTGACGCTCAAGTCGGCGGCGGTGTGAACGTACAGTAAACACGAGTGTATTGACGCCTGCAGCGCTTGACGCTTGCCCCGTGCAGAGAGAGAGAAGACGCAGCACCGCGAGCCCTGAATATTGAAAAAATCGATTCGTGGCCGTTGAGAATCGATTTTGAATCGTCCACGTTTTAAAAAACGATTAAAAGAAAAATAAATTTTTTTGCCCAGCCCTAGCGCTTAACACTCGAACGTTTGGCTCATTAATAACTAAGGCTGCATTTTAATTCACCTTAATCGGGTACATATTTGCACAGCATTTTGAAAAAATGTTATATATAGTAATTACATACGGTTTTTCTTATTATGAGAGCCAGTAATAGCATCTGCGATGGTGGTCCTTCTCCAGTTTGAATACTATTTTTCCGAAGTGAACTAATTCGTTTTTTGCTCTCAAGCTTAATGTCGAACCATTTTCTTCTCACTTCTGGGAATGATCGATTAACAGATGAAACTCCAGTAACTGCATCTGTAAAATGCTGCCAAGCTTCCTTTCTTTAGGACCCGATATGCCACTATATACGCTTGAAAATAAAATGTGGCGTTTTGAATGAACTTCTGATAATAAAACTTCAATTTCTGCATCTGAGAATTTTTTTTTTCATTCGCATTCATGTCATAATATGATGCCCATATATAGTTGTCAGTCGGATTTAATGGGCGGGATTTATGGTAATTGAGAATGAACGTGCACGCGCATCCCATTTACGACTGATTGGAATTCATTAACACACACACACACACACACATTTCACTATCACATCTGACGTTTACAAAGTATTTGTGAATCAGGAGAAGAGTTTTCGGGAATGTCTCTTTACGCGCAAATCACTCGCATATTTACGAATGTTTCATGAATGAGACCCATTAAAATTATATTTTTGTGGTGGTGCCTATGAAAATAGTTCTGTACAAATAAAATATATTAATTGCATATTTAATAAAATGTATGCAATAATAATATATTATAATTATTTCAAAAAAATATTTAGTTTTACTCTGCCTACTCCAATTAAGTCAAGTCAAGTCAAATATATTTATATAGCGCTTTTCACAATACAGATTGTATCAAAGCTGCTTCACAGTATCAATCAAAACAACTTAACAGTGCTTGTTTACTACTGGAAAAAGACATCCAAGTTTTGGTCATTTACCCTGACTGATCCGATCAGTAACTGGAGGACTGGAAATATCAGTTGTTTTAACCATTCATTAAAATGAATCGGTTCAAAGGAGTCATTAGTTCGCGAATTGGACGTGTCATTATGGGATGTGTACGCGTTGTGTGATTATCCCGGCAGCTAGGACAGGACATCCCACAAGAGTTGTGTCAACACAGAAAACATTTCATCACTGGATAGGTTTTTCGTTTATTTAAAGTGTGGTTTATGTCAGCTGAATGTGCGGAACGCTTCAGAGAAGATAAGGTATTTTAGCACAATTCACACCCAGCGGTAAAAAAATATATCCGAATGCTCCACATGAAACTATGGTCTTCCGACCTTTTACCATCGTGTCGATTTATTTTGATTAATATGTGCCAGGGAGAGAGAGCAAGACAGCGCTTAGGAGACGGTGAAGCCTTGTTTATACGTTCGCCTGGATCCGAAGAGAAAGAGTTTTTTTTTTTTTTTGGCATTTTTTCCAAACAAAATTATTACATTTATCTTGCCTAAATGTTTGCGCTCATTGCAGTTTTATAATGGGGTAATATTGTTGTTAAGAACAAGGAAGCTTGATTTAAATTGTTTAATTAAATTGAAAAAAAGTAGCACAAATAAAATACAATAGAATAAAGATACAAATAAAGAGAAAAGTTTTTGAATAGGTCTAACACTAGTATTCATATACAGAAACTGAATAAAGTAATCAAATGGAAAATAACACTGGGTAGTATTTTAGTCCTGAATGATTACTATTTTGGTATGAACATTCACCCGCCAGTGGGGCGGATAGCCTTTTGAGATTTACTCGCCAAACGGAAAATCTACCCGCATTTGGCGCTTGGCAGGGGTTCATTTCGGACCCTGTTCCCACCCCTAGTAATGATGCTGAAAATTCAGCTTTGATCACAGGAATAAATTACACTTTAATATATATTCACATAGAAAAAAGATGATTTACACTGGAGTAATATTACACTGTTTTTTACATTAAATTAATGCAGCCTTGGTGAGCAGAAGAGACTTGTTTCAAAAACATTTAAAAAACATTATTCCAAACTTCTGACCGGTAGTGCTGATTGGTCAGTGATCCAGTGGCGTTAAAACCCAGAGATGTTGACTTGACTTTTGGGAAAAGAGTTAAAGTATAGTGTGTGTGTGTGTGTGTGTGTGTGTGTGTGTGTGTGTGTGTGTGTGTGTGTGTGTGTGTACACATGTTTTTCTATCCCGGTGGGGACTTGTCCCTGAATGCACACACACTCATGGGGACTACTAGTGTCACTATGGACCTAAATTGTGTAAAGAAGCTTTGTGTGATGGGTAAGTTTAGTGTGTGTGTGTCTGTGTGTGTGTGTTATGGGTAGGGTTTGTGTGTGTGTGTGATGGGTAGGGTTAGCGTAAGGAGCAAGAATATACAGTTTGTACAGTATAAAAACCATTATGTCTATTATATGGAGAGTCCCCATGAAGATAAACCAAGCCTCTGTGTGTGTGTGTGTGTGTGTGTGTTAGTACAGTGACGGTCTCTCACACTCGAGCAGTAAAGACCCTCCATAAACCCAGCGCAGGGGTCGGAGGTCAGCCACACCCCTAACCCTCTCCATCCCGCCAATTAAACACATCTATGACACGATGCATTCAGCCACAATGAGGTCACGACCCCTGTTGTCGCGGAAACAGCTCAGCCTCAATGACGGCTTGACGTGTCTCGCAAATAAATCAGAGAGCCGTCAACGTCACGGGCGCATCGTAAAATGGAGGCTCGTACGAACGAACAGGAAGACGCTCTCTAATTGATTTATACAAACAATCCAAGAATGAAGAGGAAAAAGAACATTTGCTCATTTCAAAAACATGACAAACAACTACTGGATTCTGGAGTCTATTGTGGACATACATATATATATATATATACACACACACGCTAAATAAATCATTTATACCATCGTTATATATAGCGCCCAGTCCTAAAACTTGCTTTGTTAAAGCATTATAAACATGACAATAAGACGATCTGTAAAGCTGCTATGAAATGTGTATTGTGAAAAGCACTAAAATAATTATTTGACTATAAAAAGGCAGCTTTTCCTATCCAGATACCCGTGTTTTTATTGTCATTAAACAACTATCATAAATAATAACCAACAACATTGGCTATTTCTGGATGTTAAATCAAACTTTAACATCATTTAGGCAACCTAGAGGTCACTTTGGTTAAAAGCAACTTACAAATGGCATTGAAACATGAGCAGAGGATGAAGCACGGGCTTGATGAGAAACATGAAGCCAATCTGACTAAAAGAAGCCGACGAACACCTGAAGTTTAGAGTCAATCACCGTCACTCTGCTCTCGAGATCAGTGTAAACCACCGATTACACGTCTACCATCAGATGTCTGACAGTTTCTCCTCACGCACCTGCAATCTGGAAGAAAGCATGATTTCTATATATCGTGTCACAATATACCGCAATACAAAAATGCAAGAATATGTATCGTGGATAGTTCACCAAAAATCCAAGTTTTCAGAGTTTTAGTGTCAGTTCTACATTAAACTACTATATATAATGTTGAATATAGTGTATAATAATGCAATGGGGGAATATTTGTGTATCCTGATAATGCTAAATGTCTGATGTTACCAGTAAAAAGTGGCTTACATTATTTTTAATAAATCTAGTCAGTGAAATGAGCATATTCAACTAAAATAATTCTGTTTTCAGCTTCAGAATCATGAATATTGTTATTCTGGTGTCTCTATTGTCCTGTGCTTTGGGTTTCAGCACCAAGTCCAAGTCTATTCATTTACACACACACAATGAAATACCAAATTTAGCATTTTAATCTACAGTACATGTTTTGTTAGCCTTTTACCATATGTCTTGGAGTATCGCAATAATATCGTATCGTGAGTTCAGTATCGAATCGTGACATGAGGGAATCATTACACCGCTAATGATTTAAACTAATCCTGGTTCTTTTCATCAGACACCTGATAAACACACACACACACACCCCAACAACAAAACTGACCTGGAGAAAAGCATCCATCTAAAAGACTTCTTTGCTCATATATGTGTGTGTTCCCTAGAGAGAGACAACTGAAAGATTCAGAGCAAAACACTGGACAGTGCAAACTTCAATCTCACGCTTAGAAAGTCTCCCGAAATCAGAGCGCATCCTTCATT